AAAAAAAACTACTACATTCGTTGGTGAAAACTTTTCTTATATGTGGACAATAACCACCATACATACAGTACATATACAAATACATATACAGGTAATTACATTTATATTTGTGTGAAAAATATAATATGGGCAAAAGTATAAACATTTATGGGCAAAAAGCTACATAATACGGGAAAAAGTATAAATATATATGGGCAAAAAACTACTTTTTAAAGTAAAAATGTTTTCAATTTTGGAGAGTCATATCACTAACAATTTTGGTGGTTATATATGTCCACTATATTTATAATAGTCATGACGTGAAATATTCATGTGGCTATTACTTAGAGCAAAAATTGGCAAAAACGGTTATCATTAAATTTGATATTAGTCGATATACATAACTTAACCACTTAAAGTATGATTATATTCTTATGTAAGTTATTCATGCAAGTGTAAAGGGTGTAAATGATGTTTATAGAGAATAATGATTGTTCATTAAAATGACTTAAAAAATTCCTAATATTTTTTTAAATAAAGAAGTCCAGAAAACCGACTAATTTCTTCAATTTAGTCATTTTTTACCCTTTTAGCAGGTAAACACCTATGTGGCATACCAAGTTGAAAGGATTGCTGACATGGCAGCTGATGTGGCATGTCATGTCAGCCAAAATGCTTGCAGACTTAGAAAATGAGATTTTTTGAGAAAAGGCTTAGATGGGGTTTGAACTCATGACCTCAATATCCCAAACATAGGTATTCCCCAACTATGCTAAAAGTTGTTAACGTTTTTCATGCTGAACAATTATATATAATACCTACCAAATTCCTTTGCTTAATAAAAATAAGATTTCGAATAGGATAAAAATGACCTTGGGAAGGGTCGAACTTACGACCTTACCATCCAAAATCTAAAGTCTGCCGATTCATCTAGATGCCTTTTCATAAGTTTGTCCTTTACTATTGTAATTATTGTATACCGTTCCGAGGATTTAATGCAATTATTACTATTATTGTTATTATTAAAAACGAAATTAAATATATATATATATTTTAAATTCGTTTTAAGGAATATTATTAAATAAACACATATGTAAATTTTTAAAAAACACATTTATACGTATAAAAACATATTTATACATAAAAGATACGTATAAATGTAATAAATGCATATAAAAACATATTTATATGCGTTTATACCTTAAAAAAGTTTTTTTTTACTTTATATAGAAAAAATATTTATACTTTGAAAAAATATTTATACATATAAAAACATATTTAAACTTTTTCAAAAATATTGGGACTTTACTGTAGTTATCCCTTTAGGCAAAGAGTAAAAATATGGGGAATGTGGGGAGAATGGTGAAGGATAGCCACGTAAATTGCGGGAATAAGTTGGGAGAAATTTTGGGGATAGAGATAAACATTTTAACATATGATTATAAATTTAATGCCATTACCTGTAAACCCTAACCCATATGACTTAATGTCATAACCCTTATTCCCTAACCCATGTAACTTACCCATAAACCCTAACCTATGTGACTTAATGCCTTAACCCTTAAACCCTAGCCTATATGACTTAATGTCATAACCCTTATACCCTAACCCATGTAACTTACCCTTAAACCCTAACCCATGTGACTTAATCCCTTAACCCTTAAACCCTAACCCATATGACTTAATGTCATAACCCTTATGGCCTAACCCATGTAACTTACCCTTAAACCCTAACACATGTGACTTAATTCCTTAACCCTAGCCTATATGACTTAATGTCATAACCCTTATTCCCTAACCCATATGTGACTTAATGCCTTAACCCTTAAACCCTAGCCTATATGACTTAATTTCATAACCCTTATACCCTAACCCATGTAACTTACCCTTAAACCCTAACTCATGTGACTTAATCCCTTAACCCTTAAACCCTAACCCATATGACTTAATGTCATAACCCTTATGCCCTAACCCTTAAACCCTAACCCATGTGACTTAATCCCTTAACCTTTAAACCCTAACCCATATGACTTAATGTCATAACCCTTATGCCCTAACCCATGTAACTTACCCTTAAACCCTAACACATGTGACTTAATGCCTTAACCCTTAAACCCTAGCCTATATGACTTAATGTCATAACCCTTATACCCTAACCCATGTAACTTACCCTTAAACCCTAACCCATGTGACTTAATCCCTTAACCCTTAAACCCTAACCCATATGACTTAATGTCATAACCCTTATTGTGACAACCGTCAAATTCTAGTCAAAGTCAAAGTCAACAAGTCAAAGTCAAATTCAACAAGTCAAACCGGTCAAACTTAACTAGTACTTGTATGTTAAAACTTATTATATGTATAAAAATGTGCATTTGTATGTCAAGAATTCAAGTGTGTCGGAGAATCTATGTGTTTATCAATGTAAAACCCTAAAAAGGGAGTTAAATGCATCAAAACATGACTATGGACCCTTTTGGGGACTTGAAATGATCATAAACGAAGCATAACGGGGTTCACGAACCTTGCATTACGAGGTTATACAATAATAATGGCTAAAATTAAATCTCTCCCAAATCTATCCCAAATCTCTCTCAAAATCTCTCTCAACTTTTTATAGTCAACCGGGTCATCTCGACCCTTAAATTGGCCAAAAACGGCTTGAATCGGGGAGTTATATCGAAAAACAGCTAATTAGGGCCGAAACCCTTCTTAGGAACCGAACCCTCTTAGAGGGAACCTCTTAGGGCCGAACCTTCTATTAGGGCCGAAGGTCCCTTGTGAGGACCGAACTTAGCCCCTCAGGACCGAACTGCTGAGAACCGAACTTATACCTTCAGGACCGAAGCCAGCATCTCGGACCGAACCTCCTGCGAACCGAAGCCAGTCAGAGCCGAACCCTCCCTACACCCTAAATAGACCGAGCCCTCGGTCCATTTCAGTTCCCTGCCACTTTCGGTCCCATCTCCCACCTTCGGTTGCTTCTCCCTTCTCTCGGATTCTCACCTCCTAAGGACCGAACCTCGCAGGTTCGCTTCTAATGTCCGGTTTTCGACCACTTTCGCTTCTTAAGCCCGTTTTTGACGTTTTTGATGGGGATTTTTCACCAAATTCATATTTTTACCATTTTAAACTCCCTAAACTCATATTTTATTCATTTCTCAAGGATTTATTAATTAAAAATCATTAATTTATATTAAGAAGAGTATTCTACTCCACAAGTGGGTCAAGTGTGCCCACTTGTCTCCATGTGTCATCTTCTCATTGGTCCAACCCTATCCACATCACACAAACCAAGGTAAACATCCTTTCAACTTTGAAAATTGCTCCAGCAACATCTATATAAAGAAATCCCTGGAGGATTTCTTTGTTCACTTTGATCATTTCCTTCACTTACACGTTTCTCTTACCCCTCAAGAAAGCTTCTTTTCTCTTTACTTCCCACCACTTTGAGAAAGTGTTCTTGAGCTACTACTTCACTTTTTGGTAAGTATTCCATCTAAACTCAAGTGTTATTCCATATTTTCATAACATCCTTGGATCATCAAAACACATCTTAACACCAAAAATCATTCTTAGGATCATCCAAGCTTTCACGTGTTCATCAAGTGTTCTTGACTTGATACTCTTCGTCTTCGACCTTCCACTCTTCAATAAATCACTCAAGGTGAGTTCATACCCCTACATTTTCCATTTTTTTTAGTTTTCAGGGGGGATACAAGTTAAAACACCAAAACATATTTGAAACTTAACTTGACAGCTTACAACAAAAACGTTGTGACCTGTTCACGAACTGTTTTACCCAACTTAAGCTTAATATTTTTCAAAACTGTTTAATATGCAAATAGTTCAGGTTTATACCTTTAAAATGACTACTTGAACATCTCCATACGATTTTTCTACAATTTATGGTGATTTTTACAAAACTGCCTATCACTGCAGCAACAAAGTCGGACCAGGTTGTGAAGATGAACATTTTCACACTGGTTTGAGACCACCAAAAATTATAGGAACATTTGATGAATATAGTAGACTCTTTTTCTAAACTCTCTGAGTTTACAGATTCAGTTTTCGACTTACGATAATTTTTCTATGAATATTCCAAAACAGTGACAGTTAAGGGTAAAACTGTCAAAAACATGTTTAAGAGTTATTCACACCTTGTAACATGCTGAGCAAGGTGTGTACGATTTACACCTAGTATTTTCAATGTCATTTTATTGAAATACAAAGACATGAATAACAAGGTTTCATTCACACACACAACACTTTTGATAAACTATAATAGATTTAGTTTGAGCACTTCGTTTAACAAAGTAAACAGTAACACGATCGATTTACAAAACGGGTATTTCATTACAAATTACGTGAACTTGTTAATGAATAAATTTGTGAGACATTCTCCTTCGGGGTACTGTTAAGTACCACAGAAAAGTCCTGTAGTTATAATCAGAATCTCTTGGAGGGAGAGCGTGATAGTTGTGTATAGATCTATATTGAGTCTGACAAACCCGCACCTAAGCTGCTTGCAGCAGCTTTGACCGGCAGGTGTGGGGTGACAAGTGTCATAACATTCCGACGCCTGAAGAACGTCGAGTACGGGGTCTTCGAGTTTTAGTATGGTTATAACATCTCACATGGGGAATTAACAAAACACACAGTTCACGGGAATTTAAGGAGTTTTATTTAAATATAAAACCACACACATAAGTATGACGATTTACTTACATATACTAAGTCTTGGTTCGGTTAAAACTACAACAAACCTTTTAGAAAATATTGGATTTTCTGGAAACAAACTTGTAATAAACTTTAAGGAACAACATTCATTTTTCATTCATAAACTGCTTATGAACTCACCAGCTTTAATGCTGATACTCTTTCAAAAACAACTTGTATTCTCAGGTATTCAGTAATATAGGTAACCACAAGATTTTTGAAGGCAACACGCTAAGATTTTTGAAGGAACAACATTCGTTTTTGTGCCACTATAGTATATTTTTAATGTCATATGAGTTTTTGGGCCACTATATATCATCGTTTTTAGTGGCATATCTTTTTTTGTGCCACTATAATATTATATTATTGTTATTTTCATTTTAGCACTCATAATTCTCCTAAAATTAAAAACTTCTCGCCACACCAAAGTTTGTTTTTCATTTTCATCTTTTAATTTCCCACTTTGTTTCTAATTTTTTGACATAATCCCCCCACCCCCAAAATGAGAACGTAAAAAACCCTTTCTCCAAAGTCGATATGGTTGCTTCGATGAACACCAACACTTCGCTAGGGTTTAACGGTACTGGTATAACTTTTCGAGATCAAAGATGGCCTTGGTTTCTACATGCACCGATGACAACAACTGGGTCCTTATTAGCTTAAAATATGTCATCTTTCGCTCTTTCCTTGATTTCTTTGGAACTCATCAGATCAAAGCTCAGGTGAGCCAATCTTTGCTTCATATTTTCCATTTGCTTGTTCAATTCAAATTCTGGTATAAGCTTCAATGGCCTTATAGTTTTTTTGTTGTCAGGGGAGATTACGCCACATCTGCCTTCATCGACTTTATTATCTGCGTCTTCCTTCTCATTCTTCTCCTGCGATTTCATCAACATCAGGCACCGATTTCTCATTCTTCTTCATGTTCTAATTTCTTCTTTTCTTTGCAAGTTTTTAATGATCTGTTATTATATAGTTGTGTTAATGTTGAAGAATTATGGTTATAGATTATCATAGGGTTAAATCTCTTGTTGTTGAGATCATTGAAACAAAGATGAAGAGAAGGTGTTTGATGAAATGCTCAAATGAAAAAAAATCATATTACAGTGGGATTAACTCAAGTTTCTCTAAAAGATTAAATCTTCTCTGAACTTGCACTTCCAGGTGTCTGTAACTAATGAAGGGAGAGATATGGTTTTGGTATCTTAGGATGATTATGGTGAGTTTTGTGAAGTGGGTAGATGAAGTCATTCCTGATGCACCATATGCCATAACTGAAGAATTCATGAGGAAACTGTTTGATGAATACAATATAGATTATATCATTCATGGAGATGATCCCTGCATTCTCCCTGATGGAACTGACACATATGCCCTTGCAAGGAAAGCATGTCTATATAAGCAAACAAAAAAATGACTATATTACCCCTCCTTTTACTCACATTGCTATTAAGGGCGGAAGTGACAGTGCCTCTGTCCTTAGGATCGATTGCAAGAAGAGTTTCTAGTAAAGGTAGAGAAGAAGGTGGAAAGTCTTTGAATGTTTTTATTGTACAACGCCTGTAAGGATGTTGTGGCTTGAAAAGTGTTGCATTTGGTAATCGGTATTTCTTCCAGTATTCATCTGATGGAGAGCCACATAATTTAAAAATCTTGTGTAGTTGTTCAACCTGAATTTATAAAACCAAATCAAGATGGAACATCATCAAACACATTTTCACATATTGAATATTATATAGTAAATTACAAAAAAGGTCCAAGTGCTTTTTGATCTTTACCAACATTGAAACATTTTCAATTTTGGTCCTTATTTCAATGATCATAGTAAATTTGGTCCTTATTCCAATGATCATAGTGAATTTGGTCCTTATTCCATGGTTCCAGGTACCAAATCTAAAAAAGGCTTTAGTTTTGGACTAAACACCGTAAAAATTAGAAAGAACAGAGACCACCTTTGTAATTTACTCTAAACATTATCTGACATATGTAATATGTTACTGTAATAGTGTAATCTCAATATAAATCAAAAAGAACAAGAAAAAGGAGAGATGCAAAATGAATCTTTTTGTCCCACCCCCACCCTGATCTCTCCTTTGTGCAAAAGACGTGAATACCCTTGAAAATCTCGTGTAACAAACACGGATTTAAGGATACTCTTTGTCTAAATAAATAATACAATAAATACATAGGATTTGTACCTTTGTTCTTCCTGGAAGTATGGGTTTCCCAGCAAGAAGCTCAGCCAAAATGCAGCCAGCACTCCAAAGGTCAACACTGACACCATAATAAGAGGCACCAAGAAGAAGCTCAGGGGGTAGCACACCGTTTTTGTGGAAATGCTCATGCCCAGAAAGTAGTTGCTTCATATAGCACTTCACCTGCCCATCCCCATATATCATTACTTTTTCGGATTATGTAAATGTAAAACCCACAAATAAAAAGTAGTCATCATTGTTCATTATTTTGAAAAATACAACAAGGATTGATTCCCTCATTATCCCTTCATGAAAACTTCCCATTAGTATATATTCTTGGAACTTCTTTTATTAAATACATGTGGCGTTTAAGAAGCATTTCTGGAGCTTCTCTAATATTCTACAACTATTAAATTAAATAATGATACTTTAGATGATTTCCAAGTTCCAACTTTTTAGTCAAAGTCAATGTAATATAAGCTGAAAACAACGTAAATCAGAAAATTTGACAGTATTCTCATCCATTAGACTTTAAAAGCATATCATTGGATACCATCTTATGGACAAAAACATTAGAAAACAATAATGTCGGAAAGCACAACCAAAGGCAAATACAACCATACAAACCAGAAACAATAAGACAAATGCAACTATATGATAAAAAAAATCAACTTGACAACCAAGCATAAGGTCAATACAACCAATATATATGTGTGGGGTCAGAAATCGATCTAACAATAACAACACTTGTTACTAACCTTACATTAAATAAGTAATGAAGTCCGTATCTATCTTAATTGTTGAGATTATCATAATGAGTTTTGAAAGATACCTGTGGCTCTGTAAACTTGACACCTTGGATGGCAGAAAGGCCAGAGAGATCATGTTCCATGTATTCAAACACAAGGTAGAGACTACAAGACATTCTTGATGTCACCAATCATTCAAGCTTAATAATATTAGGATGATTTAGCTTCTTCAGTATAAGAATCTCTCTTGCCATGAACTTCACACTTTGTGGCTCTAAATTATCAAATCTAACTTTCTTGAAAGGAACTATCTTCCCTGTTATTAAATCCCTCGCTTTATATACATTGCTATAGGTCCCTTGCCCAATCTATCATCATTCATTTACAGTTTAAACAATCTGGTAATCGTTTTCACGTAATAAAGCTTTTAGATCCATCAAACGCTCAACTATCTACATATACAGTAGAAACGAAATTTAGAGATTTAAAAAGAAGCAGCAAAAGCGAAAGAGAAAACAAAAAAGGAAAGTAGCAGTGTACCTTTTTCATCTCGTTTCTTCCAAGCGGATCTCCAATTATAACAGAAGATCGACAACCGTTTCATACCTCGCTGGAGGGATTTGAAATTAGGGTTTCCATTTCATTCTGATGGCGATCGAGAGAGAGAAAGAGAGGCGAGAGAGAGAAAGAGAGGCGAGAGAGAGAGGGAGAAGTAAACCCATAGGCGCTAAGACATCTGTGTCATCTCTTTCAGGTCTCCAAAGAGGAATCTGTAGGAGTTTCCTTTCAGGCCCTGAGCTCTTAAGGATTTTTCGATCTTCTTTGGTTTGATGATGGGACGTCTTCGGTGGGGGAGGTCGGCAGCCGTGGACCTTCGGTGGGAGACGTTGGTGGAGATCACTGCATCTTTGGTGGAGACGATAAGAATTGGTTTGATGGCGATGTGTTTAGGAGATTAGGGTAAGGTCCGTGTGTAGTGTAATACGTATATGATCCGTGTAGTGTAATACGTATATGATTGGTTATATGCTTAATATTATTGTACATAAGATAATACATGTTGTACCTCTTAATTTTCAAGAAAGAGACAATATGTTTAATAATATAGTAAATATATATATATATATATATATATATATATATATAATATATATATATATATATATATATATATAGTCATAAGTTGTTACTATATTACCCCTCCTTTTACTCACATTGCTATTAAGGGCGGAAGTGGCAGTGCCTCTGTCCTTAGGATCGATTGCAAGAAGAGTTTCTAGTAAAGGTAGAGAAGAAGGTGGAAAGTCTTTGAATGTTATTATGAACCTATAAATAAGAACTATCAGTAATTCCAGGTTATAATAATGATTTATCTACTTACGGGAGAGGTGACTAGAATGGTCACTTTGGCTTGGTTGTTGGATTTTAGAAAGACTATATTCCGAAATGGTCTTGTCTCCCAACTGTCATGCCTGGCCGATCCTTACTTGATAGATCTTGATGTAGACATTGGGATTAGTGAGGAATCCAAACTATAGTTATTAAAGTCATCAGGATTACGAAACTAGACTAAGGTTTAGTACTTTATGCATATAGGTCTTTCAAAAGTACGAAATGAGGCACTGCCAAAATCACTAGTCACCCACCAAAGTCAAGTGGGTGCATATTTACTTTCAACTTACACATAGATACAAGTATCTAAATGCTTGAATGTTATGTGCATTGTATTGCTGTGTTTAATATATATGTGCAACCTGATATAGTTATTACTTAATTAAACTATATATATATATATATATATATATATATATATATATATATATATATATATATATATATAATGATACTTAATAATATTACTAGGTAGTAAAGGGCCGTGTGAAATAATAAATGAGAGGATATGATAGGACCGTGTGAGATGGTAGTGGTGATAGGTTCAGTGAGAGTTGTGCGAAATAATAATTCGTGATGTGTCGTGACTGTCCAAAGTATTACTGTACTGCCGTGCCCATCCAAAGTACTATTGTATTGCCTTGCCTGCCGTGCTTGTCCAAAGTACTACTGTACTGGTGTGCTTACCCAAAATATCATCATATTGTTATGCCTAATCATCTAGGAAATATAGATGTCTGCGGGTAAAGGTCCTTTAGGAAAGATCCCACGAGATCATCGTGCTAGGATTAGAATGTGAGGATAATGGTAATGGGGTAATTGGGGTATTTGAATGTTGACGAATATATAATTAAAGATTATAATATTGAGGGTTGACAACCCTATGTTTTCACCATGTTTCCCAACCTAACCCACTTAGTTTCTTTTGTATCACAGGTAGCGATACGAAGGTACTGATTGATAATGTATGTAATGCCTATAAATCCGGGCTAGTCAATTTAGAGATAATGAGCATCAAAAAATGAGTTTTGATGGAAGATTATTTAGAAGGATTAATCTTAACCATTTTATAGTATATGTTATAAGGGTTCCGTACATATAAAGAATGCCAAAATTTGAGTTATAACGAAGAAGTTATGGCACGTCGAAGTTTTACGGCAAAACCGACACGACACGGCGGGATGTAAATAGTGAATTTACGATACAAGACTTTTTGGCCATAGCGATCTAAACAAAATTCGTTGTATACGTTAAACCGAGAGCGTGCATAAAAAGAACGCCCAAATCTGACTTCGTATGAGGAAGTTATAATTTTTCTAAGATTTGGCATAGCAGTGCACAGCCCGGAATTCGAATTTTAGATCGAGCGGTTTTTTGGCCAATGTGACCTAAATGAGAATTGAAGATCTCATTAATAGGAACTCAACGATAAAAAGACAGACGGAAACGGAGTCCGTATGTAAAGTTCTGAATTTTACGCGGACATTTAACAATGTAATCACCTCCTACTGTTAAATTTAAGATCGGTCCAGAATTAGCCGACGGAGTAAAAAGGAAAGTTGTAGATTTTATTTTTACGTACGCGTGGATATAAATAACGTCAAAAACGAAGCTCGTATCGAAAGTTATGGACGAAGCTTAGTCTCTACTTTTCGAGCGCGGCGAATTCGATACAGTTTTGTAAATCCGAGATAGAATGAGAATTAGCCAACAGGGTCTAAATGAAAGTTGTAGTACTCGTAAATACCAACGCGTGGATATAAATAACGTCGGAAATGGAGCTCGTATGCGAAAGATATGGACGAAGCTTAGTCGCTACTCTTCGTGCGCGATAAATACGATACAATTTTTGTAAATCTGAGATAGAATGAGAATTAGCCGACGGGGTCTAAATGAAAGTTGTAGTACTCGTAAATACCAACGTGTGGATATAAAGAATGTAGAAAACAGAGCTCGTACACAGAAGATACGGACGAAACTTAGGGGCTACTTTACTATAAAATCCCTATAAATAAAAGGTGAACTCTTCATATTTTCTTCACACCATAAGCCTTTCTTTCTCTCTCTAACTTTTCTCTAGCCTCCCTAAACCCCTCCCAAGTCTAGGAAACCTCCCTAGCACGAGAAGGAAGCCACTGAGCGCCCGACGGCTCCGAGAAGAAAAACTTTCGGCTCGGAAACGCTGCTCCAGCGAAGCCCGATTTTTAATAAAAACCCGATGTAAGTGAACTACGCCTATACTATATTTAATATAGCTTTTATTTAAATATAGTAATGTTATTAGGACCTTATAATAATTATTTGGGCTATTATTATGGGTTATATAAGTGTCGTTATAATATCTTTTTAACCACTCGCGGTACGGGGAATCTGGTTTGGAGGGCCGCTTGGGTTGCTGGATTCAGAAGTGCTATATGCCAAAATGATCCTGCCCTCCGGTGTTCCATGTCTGGCCCCTGCCTGTACATAGTGGGTGAAGAGTATTGTTTAACGCTTATATAATAGTAATAATAGCTAGACTATTAATTAGTCTCGGTGAATATTAGACTAAAGTCTAGTGGTAATGATACTAGGTTTTGTCAAAGGAAAATTGTTTTAAGAGTAACGAAGCGCTGTCCGAGTACCGAGTAACCACCTTATCAGGTGAGTGCATAGTTACTTTCATCTTACACATAAATATGAAGTATTTTATATAAATTATGTGCTATGTGTGTATACTGTCTGAATACTTGTTGTCTATGATGGATGAAACGTTTTATACATGTTTTAAATGATCTAAACTGTATATGTATATTATATCTACAAAATGTGTTGGGTAAAACATGGGTAGATTAGAGGTGAGATAAATGATGAGCGATGAAAGATGAGATAAATGATGAGCGATGAAAGATGAGATGAATGATGAGCGATGATATATGAGTGATAAAATATGGTGCGAAGCGATGAGCCAAAGCGATGAGCCAAAACGATGAGCCAAAACGATGAGCCAAACGATGACCCAAGCGATGGCCCCGTCATCTAGCAGAGTATGGATGACAACCACGGACTATTCTAGACAGTCTAGTGGAATACTAGCAGGCTCGCAACATGTAGGTGTTGTGAACGATGTGTTTACTTGGTGTACTCTAAAAACCTATTGACAGGTATTACGAGTGGACTCTCGAAAATGATACTGTCAATAAACGAGATAAACCCTGGCGACTATGCAGACTTAGTGCCGATTCCCTAGGATACTCCTTAGGAATGAATGAACGAGGAATAGCTGAATCTTAGGGTAGATCCTTAAGAGTAAAGAAGATAATGGGGATGGGTAATTGGGTTGATTGTTTGATGTTTAACATAATAATTATATTATTGTGGGTTGAAAACCCTATGTACTCACCAGGTTTCCCAACCTGACCCACTCAAGCTTATTTGTATCATAGGTGTCGATATGAAGTTACTTTACACTGAGGGATTTAAAAGAGATGTAGATCACTAGTGTAAATGAATTTAAGTTCTGTTTATGCTTATGTTTCTGTATTGACGATGACATCCCAAATGTTTTAAAATGGAGAAAAATACATTTCTTCGGAAATGCTCTGATAACGTATTTATCATGTTTTTCTGGGAACAAATTCCGCAACATTTTTATTAAAAGAGGTACTCTTATTTTTATAAAGCATAAACAAAATCGGTATTTTCTGGCCGTGAAAATGGGGATGTCACAGTTGGTATCAGAGCAATAGTTTAAGCGAACTAGGAATCAGGATTTATTTCTAGACTTAAACTTAGAATGCTAAGCGATGATTGTGAGGAGTGTGTCTAATATATTTTAGGTAGTACGCCTAAATAGACGTAAGCACTAGCTTATTTAGGGAAAATGCCTAACATGCTTTTATGTGCTAAATGATTTGTGATGCTTTATGTTATCGTTTGATCGGATCTATGGTCTGTTGCCGACCAGATCTGGAAATTTTATGTGCTCAGGTTTCTAAAAGTTTAATTACGATATTAGAACTGACATGTAACTTTTTTTGAAGTAATAAGGATGAATACGCGTCTAAATCTTCCTCTATCTATATTATCGTCTCGATACACCGAACGCCTGCTTTGGTTTATAGAATGTCATGATAAGGACTCATAGCAGACTGAGCAAATGGAGGAAATGAGAACGCTTACGATATTGAATGATACCTATCAGAATATATTTTAAGAGTGATATGTTGCCTTTAGAACGTGTCTATGAAGTAATACGTCTAGTACGGGAGAAGTACACTTTCGATTAGCAGAAAGAAAGATTTTTGGTATAATCCATGAAGTTATCCCTTCGTCTGACATTTCCATCACCAACCGAGTTGAAGTAGAGTTGATGATTGAAGATATGCATGGAAGAAGTCCTAGTAGAGTCTAGGGAAAATTATATGATTCTTTGGACACGTTTGTATGTGTTAAAATTGTTTTTTGTGATAATGACTTGGAGAACTGCGAGACAATACTTGGGACGAGTATGAGTAGGTGTGAAAGGTAGTAGAGGCCTATACTACCGGAAGCACAGGACTCACGCTTGGATCAGGGAAAGTCACAAGGTTACCAAGGAGCTAGTAA